CCGGGCCCAGCAGTAAATTGCTTTTTAAAAGAAAGCATGTGGGGTCAGTACAGCAGGTCCCATTTATAGAATTACCCTCTTAACCTCATGTTCCCACTTTTAGGGAACAGACAGGTGCAAATGGTGGGAACAAGAGAATTCTATAAAACGGGCCCACGGTGCTGACCCCCACATGCTTTCTTTCGCAAGAAGCAATTTACCTGCAGCCCTGCCTGGCCTCAGTGGACAGGATATGTCATATTCCTCAGCAAACTACCTGTTCACTGCAGGAGAAATGCAGGTCCCAAGTCATGTCGGTCAGAGGAGCTCAAGTTACCCTTAAAGGGGAGACTTTTGTTACCCTTTTCACAGACCAGATCCTGAAAGTCTGGGAGATAAGGATAGTTCATCCTAATTCTTATAGAATCTATAAGAATGGATGGTTAATAAGCCAATTAGAAGTCAACATAGACCAAGATGACCTTAAGTTGTCTGGCCTTGAGGTCTTGAAAGTCTGATGTCACCCTGCTGTCAGTCAAAAGTCAAGAGATGGACCTGGGGGCTGGGAACATAGCTCAGTGGCAGGGCACTTGCCTCGCACACATGAGGCACTGAGTTCGATCCTTAGCACTGCACAAAAATAAACAAATAATAAAGGCATGATGTCCATCTACAACTGAGAGAGGGAGAGGGAAAGGGAGAGGGAGAGGGAGAGGGAGAGGGGTGGGTGGCTCTGGGTGGAACTCTCTGGAAACTTCTCTGGGATCCCTAATAAAACTGGAGTGCAGGAGAGGCACATTGTCCACTCTCTCCTCTCTGAGAGGCCCCACTTTCTCCCTAGTGAGTGTCCCCTTTCCCTTTTCCCATCCTTTCAATACACCCATTCCCGTTCCTCTGAGTGCTATGTCTGAAATCTTTCTGATTTGGTCGCAAGAATCAGGGTTTGAAGGAAGGGTCTTTGCATCATCTCAGTTGCCAGGAAGGACCCAGCTCTGAAATACCACCACTCTTGTCTACTAACTATCAATAGCACTTTTCAGTTAAGACATCACTTATACCTCTCGTACCTGTTTTCTTCAATTTAAGGGGAAATGGCCCTGCTTTCCCACCAGTACGCAAAATTCTTCAAGTTCCAATCCCACAAAAAATTATAAAGCTTTTTTAAAAAATTAGGAATGATAACAGCAACCAGGACTAATAAATACATAAATAATAAAAGGAGTAGGCTTCAGCTCCAGGTTGTCCCATTCTAGTGGGGAAAAGAGAAATAGAGGAACTGAAAGCCACTGTGCCCTGGGCAGGAAGCAGTGTGCCTTAGTAGAGGACTTTGCACACACCGGATGCTGGTGTTTTGGAGCTAGATTAGGCTAAAAGATAGTGCAGTCCAATCTTCAGGTGTCCTAGCGCAGGGAACTGAGACCACAGTAGTCAGGGACTTGCCCAAGTCACTAAGTCAGTGAGACCCAGCCCCAGGGCCAGGGCACACCCTGCCACAGCCCCTTCTTCTTTTTGCTCAGGAGTGGAGTGTCATTTCTACAACAAGCCCCTCTGCTCCATGGCTTGGGAATTTATTATCTTGTTCTTTTTTTTTTTTTTTTTTAGATTTCGGCGGACACAACATCTTTGTTTGTATGTGGTGCTGAAGATCGAACCTGGGCCGCACGCATGCCAGGCGAGCACGCTACCGCTTGAGCCACATCCCCAGCCCTATCTTGTTCTTTTGGAAAGCATAGTTGTTCTCTGGTTTAATGTAGTGATTGGCACAGGAAGAGTGAAGTTCAAATTTTTTTTTTTTTTTTTGGTACCAGCAATGGAGCCCAGGGGCACTTAACTAACCCCTGAGCCACATCCCTACCGATTTTTAAAAAAATATTTTTTAGTTGTAGTTGGACACCATACCTTTATTTTATTTATTTTTATGTGGTGCTGAGGAGCAAACCCAGTGCCTTGCACGTGCGAGGCAAGCGCTCTACCACTGAGCTACAACCCGAGCCCCCTGATTGTTATTTTGTATTTCGAAACAGGGTCTTGCTAAGTTGCTTAGGGCCTCACAGAGTTGCTGAGGCTTATGTTTTAAAAGCTTTCAATTCTACAATGGCATTCCTCCAGTGAGCTACCAGGAAGGTTCCAGAAAAACTGCCTGTTTTTTTTTTTCCTCTAAAAAGATTCTATGGTTAAGATGGGACCTCCCCCCCAAAGCTGGTTTTTCCAAATTGTTGCCTTATTCTCAACAGGATTTCAAACAAAACCACCTTAAGTCTCCCAGTGATTTGGCTGACTGTCCTCTGACTCAGCCAGGCAGGTAACCTGGGTGTTTTCCTAATTTTTTCCTAATTAGCAAATTCACCTCCCTTAGGCTGGCTCCATGGAAGTCCCCCTTTGGAATAACAACCAGCCCAGAGACCAAAATAGAGGAGGGATTTGTGTGAGAGAGAGTGTGTGTGTGTGTGTGTGTGTGTGTGTGTGTGTGTGTGTATGTGACTGAGTAATCTGTGAGAGAAGTTAGCCATTGCATCTTGCTAAATCCACCCAGAAGGCACCGTTCTTAAGAAAAAAATTTAGTTATGAATCATTCATTACACAGCATTTCTCTGTGGTCCACAACAAGCCGTTATTATATCAGCAATTACATATTTTAACACGGAGTCAGCATTCCTGGGGCAAATCATTTATTTCTCTGGAACCTTCACAAAGAAGGCGAAATCCTAATAACCTGGTCACTCTCTCCTTTTAAACACTGAAGAGATCACACTGGCCCCACCCAGAAGTTATTCTTCATGCAACTTTATTCTCTGTGCAACTGAGAAATAGTACAGGACTTTCTCCAAATATGACAAAAGCTACTGGTTGATGAGCACCTTACAGATTATCAAGGCTCTCCCCCTCCCCCTCCTGCAAAGAGAAGAGATGAGGAAAGAGTAGCAGAGGGCGCTGGGCCACCCAGCTAGCAAATCACAGCAAGAGAGCACAGTGCAGAAGAAATCCTGGGTTTGGGGATCAGACAGACTCAGGATTGGGTCTATCACCCTCTTTGAGTTTCATTTTTTTTAAAGCAAAAATAGGAGCATTCCCTGTCTTACAGAGTTTTGAGGATGGGACAAAATGTGAAAAGCACACAACTAAAGTCCTGGCATGTAAAAGCTCCTCAGTGAAAAACAGCTTCCCTAACATCTATAAAACCTGCCTCATGAAGCCCATGTGGAGATGAAGTGAAACAACACCTGGGAAGTGCTCATTCCTTCTCCTACTAAATGCCCCTTACCAAAGCCGCCTCCAGGGAAAGAGAAGCTCAGCACATTGGAAGACACTAAAGAGAACTTTATAAACTGGGCACCTTTATAAATGCATGCCTGTAATCTCAATGACTCAGGAGGCTGAGGCAGGACGATCCCAAATTCAAGGGAGGCTGAGGCAGGAAGATCACAAATTCAAGGGAGGCTGAGGCAGGAGGATCACAAGTTTGAGGCCCTAAGCAACTTAGCAAGACCCTGTCTCAAAATAAAAAGGGTTGGGATGTGGCTCAGTGGTAATATGCCCCTGGATTCAATCCCTGCTACAGAGAGAGAGAGAGAGAGAGAGAGAGAGAGAGAGAGAGAGAGAGAGACTGACTTTATCTTCATATGTTAATATTCACCTAATTTATCTGCTGAATTCATGCTTCTCAGAAAAATACCCAGGATTAATTTTTGGTTTTTGGTAGTAACAACTGAACCCAAGGGGTAGTAACAGCTGAACCCTAGGGCATGCTAGGCAAGCACTCTACATCCCCAAGCCCCTAGATTGAATATTTTTAAAGTAACTGGTAACAACCAAAATCACTGGGTAATTTCAATATGCCTGAAAGCCCTCAAGCATAAAACGTTTGATGATGTGCCAAGCTCAGTCCATCCCTTGTCTCACATTCCTTCCCCAAATCCAGTTCTACTATCAAAAACTGTAAAGTCTGCCTGGTGCAGTGGCACAAGCCTGTAATCCCAGCAGCTCCCAAGACTGAGGCAGGAGGATAACGAGTTCAAAGCCAGCCTCAGCAAAAGCGAGGCACTAAGCAACTGGGTGGGACCCTGTCTCTAACTAAAACACAAAATAGGGCTGGGGAAGTGGCTTAGTGGCTGACTGCCCCGAGGTCAAACCCCCAGTCCCCCCCTGCCCCCCCAAAAAGCACCAAGTATATTTTCATTTTATTTTAAAGTCCCAGTGTCACTTTAATCAGATTCTTAGGTGGAGTGAGAACTACAAAGGTGAACACAAAGAAAAGGAAAAACGGCGGACAAAAGCGTCTGAGTGGGAAAAGAAGTCATACAAATCTGGGTTCTCTTCCAAAGAGCTCGTTAACACCAAGACGTACTGTTGGTTAAATGCTACGAAGTTTTCAAGTAGCCACTTATTGATTAAAAACAGTGTGCACCAAACAGAATGTCCTGGCTGGACCATCATTTACAGATTCATTGGTGTGTGCTGAAGTCCTGCAGCGTGCCCTGGGACTTCGGCTCAGAGTCGCCTTCCCCCAAAGCGCCGTGCCAATTAGATTTCTGGAGCAATTTCCAAAGTAAGGAGTGCAAGGAGAATGGTCCTCTCCCCTAAAGGACGGTCGCGCGCGGGGGAGTGGGTGGGTGGGTGGCGGGGTAGGGTGAGGGTAACGTTCTTGGGTTAATGTTTAACTTAACCCATATCACGAACTGTGGGAAATTCCACTTCTTACCGCCCTGAGTCGTCAGAATAATCCTATTTAGAACGAGGCGCTCAGAACCTGGAACAGTTTGCATTTGCGTTTAAAAATAAGGGAAAAAAATTTCCCTAAAAGCACCTCTAAGTTGCCGGCACGTAAGCAAAAAGGGCGCGGGGGGAAAAGCCCCCAAATGGCAGACCTCCCTTTTCCCCATAAGCAAATCACTTATTTTTCCTAAGATTTAGGCCCGGAGAAGAAACCAGATTAAAAATGCGAAGCGCGTCTGGAGAGGAGTCCAGGCTGCCCCGGCGGCGGCGGGGGGCGCGGGGCCGGGCCAGGCCGGGAGGTCGGGGCGCTAGCCCGCACCCTCCGGCTCGCTGCAGGGCGAGGGCGCCGACGAGGCCTTGGACTCGCCGTCGCTGTTGCATTCGGCCCTGCGCTGGGGGCCGGCCGGGCCCTCGTGTCCGCGCGCGTGGCGCTCCAGCAGCTCCTGGAGGTGCTTGATGTAGCTGACGGCGGCGCGCAGCGTCTCCACTTTGCTGAGGCGCCGGGCGGCCAGCTCCGGCGGCAGGTGGTCTCGGAGGCGCGCGTAGCCCTCGTTCACGCAGCGCACCCGCAGCCGCTCGCGCTCGTTGCGCTGGCGGAGGAAGGCGGGCTCCAGGGCGCCGCGCAGCGGTGGGGGCGGGCGCGGCCGTCCCGGCGCGCAGCCCCGCTGCGCCCGCTCCCAGCACGCGGCGTCCAGACGCACTGAAACCCTGAAGGGGTCCCTCGGCGGGAGCAGAGGCAGGGTCCCTGGCACGCCCAGGGGCGCGGTGCGCAGCGCATACTGAAGGGTCAGCAGTCCGGCTGACTTCCGTTTCTCCATCAATTTGCCGAAAAGCAAATAGATCACTCAAGAAATTAATCTCTCAACCGAAAATGAGGCTTAAAACCTGGTCTCATCCAGATTGTGGTCCATCCAAACAGCCTGGCACCGCTGGTCTGTCTTTGGAAAAGTTTTTTTGGGGTCTGGAAACTAGGTTCCAGAACAGGCTTCAAGGAAACTTTGCATGGCTTCCGAAATTCACTGCACTCCTCGATCGCTATAAAAATCCAGACCAGAAGTGGTAGACAGATACAGGACCCTCCTCCCCCGCGCCAATCCACTGTTGAATTCCCGTCTTCGCCTCTGATCTTATTTCAAAAGATAAGAAAGGGGGGCTCCTCTGCTCGTTCCCCTAGCCTGGATATGTGGGCGCACACCAAACAGTAATCATCCAGAGCCACCAACGCTTTTCAATTCCTGTAATACACCGTTCTGGGGCTTCAAGAGATGAGGGTTTTTTTTTTTTTTTTTTGCAAGCAGCCTAGGAATCTTGAAGGTTTGAGAACTCTTCCTAGGAACCTACCGGTCTCCTGGCGGGGAGCGAATGTTTACCCGAGGCTTTCTCCTTGAAAATCAAGACTTGACTGCCCCGTGGTTTCCGGCGTCCAGGTCTAATGGAAAGAGCTTTTAGAGTGTTTGCAAACTTACACTTGCTCTTTCATTTCTGGGGAGGTGGAGGGAAGCGCTCATCAAAGGGAAGACTGCTCTCTTGTGGTTAGAAGATGTGTCAAAACAAGGAGGACCCCCGGGGAAGCTCGTTTTCTTCTCCCAAACCAAATCTTTTAAAAAACCCAGTTAGACACTTTTTGAAAGGAACACGAAAAAATACATTCTTTAGAAAAGAATATAAGGGCCCGCATATTATGTTCCAGCGTCTGTTTGACTCAGGGTGCTTTGGTCTCCAGGCTACTTTTTAACATCAAAAGACTGAACAGTAACAGACACTTTTAGCCTGTTATTTCTCACAGTGCTTACTGTAAACACAATTTCAGTACAGTTTCCCGACCTGTTCTAATCCCACGCAGGATGTAAGGACATCGTCTTTCCTTAGCACAGAGTATTTTTCCATTGTATTCTTCTTACAACCACCACCACCACCACAACAACAACAATTTATTTTCTCCCTTGAGGACAGAGAAACAACGTTTGAAAAGTGGGGAGCCCCAGTTCCACATTTTAAAAAAAAGGATGGCTTTGAAGACTTGTCTTTTTAACACACGACCAAAAAATGAATAATTAATCCATTCGTGTTGGTAAAGGGCTTTGAAGATAAAAGTGTCATTAAAAATCCAACTGTACTGGTTAATGTCAAAGAATGTGTTATCACGCTGAAAATCAGATTTCCTGTTCTGCAAATCAGCACATTAAAGCATCTTCTACTTTAAAAGTCCAACTTAAAAACAACAGAAGCAAAAACCCCCTACGTTTATGATCAGACCTTTTGTCGATTCCTTGGGAGCCAAGGTGTAGCCCTAACATGTTTTTTTTGACAAGTCCTGTGCTTCCCTGTTTACTCTAAGATGATCTGCCCCAAGCAACTGGAAAAACATTTCCATCAAGGCAAATAATAGAGAAATAATTATTCCTTTCAGGCATAAGTCAGTCACATTTTATAAAGTGTAGCTCCCTTATACTGGCAAACAACCTACCCTGTTGTGGCGATTTCTCCGTAGAATTGAGGACTCTCTTCCTATTAGGAGAAAAGCCCCTCAGAGAACCAGGTAGGCTTTTAAGTCACAAGCTATTTTTTTTTTTTTTTGGTTGTGTCAAATATTTTGCTCTTTATACTAAGAATGACAAGAAGAAATCGAAGTATTTTAAACAGGGAGGTGACATAGATTTGTATTTCAAAAAAATCATTTTAAATTGAACATGGTGGCACACACTTGTAATCGCAGCAATTCAGGAAGGCTGAGGCAGGAGGATTGCGAGTCGGAAGTCCACCTGGGCAACACAGCTAGATCCTGTATGAAAATAAAATAAAAAGGACTGGGAATGTAGTTCAGTGGTAGAGCATTCCTGGGCTCAATCTGTAGTGTAGAAAAAAAAGAAAAATATCACTCTTCTGCACAGTGAAGAGTAGCTTGGAGGGGAGCACAGAGAAAAACATTTGCAACCAGGTCAGGCAAGGATGAGATGAAGGACTTGAAGCATAAATTGCTGCAAGCTTAAGGGAAGGAAACTATTGACATTAACAAACTTAAGCATGTGCGCACTCCTAGAGATCAAACCCAGGGCCTTGCCCATGCTTTGCCTCTGAGCTATATCTCTAGCCCTTGAAATTAATAGTGCACACCACATACTCTTTGATCCAAAGATTTCTATACCTTTGCCTTACAAAAACGAATGCCCCAAGCTGGGTGTGGTGGTGCACGCCTGTAATTCTGGCTTCTTGGAAGACTAAGGCAGGAAGGATCACAAGTGCAGCCTGGGCAACTTAGCAAGACCCTATCTCAAAAGTTTAAAAAGGCGCTCATGTGGGAGGCCCTGGGTTCAATCGCCAGCACAAAAATAACAACAACACTGGTACAACAGTGTACCAGTATTGGTTTATAGGTACAGTATGTTTACTGTACCATAGGTGGTGGCCAAAAAGAAAAAAAGGTGTGGAGGGAGGAAATAGCCTTAATGTCCAATTCATAGGGACAGGGTTAATACTTTTAGACTATAATGCTATTACTAAAAATAATGAGATCTATATGTAAGAACTTGCATATATCTATGATGTGTTAAAAATCATAGAGTAACAATTATAGCATGAACATAAAACAATCCTACCTGATGCATATGTCTTTATGCGTTTGTATGAGCACAGAGAATGAAATGGAAAGGCACAAACTTGGTCAGTGGCTGCCTGAAAATTGTGGCACTGGGGCTGGAGGAGTGTCCATTTTTCTTTATAGATCTTTCTACTGTTTCACTCACTTCAAACAGTGCATATTACTTTCTTAAAAAGCTAAGTTTAATGTAATAAGAGAAAATGGATAGAACACTCAAATGACACTAATAAAAATCAAGCCAACAGATTTATCAATATAGTTGACAGTTTAAAGCACCGGAACCAGGTTTTCCAATTCCTTAAACATTCTGTCTCTGAGGAAGAAGTATGTACAGGAACACACACACACACACACACACACACACATCAATACCACACACAAAAAGGCCAGATCTTCATTCTACAGTTTTGACCCAGATAAATATTTTCTCCTACTTAAAGATATCTCACATAAAGGCTGGTGTTATGGTTTTGATTTGGAATGTCCCCAGGATCTCATGTGTACAAAGGTGGGGCTCTTAGGCAATAATTGGATCATGAGGGCTCTGACCCCATTGGTGGATTGATCCTCTGATAGCTGATTGGAGCACTGGGAGGCGGAGGTGGTATCTGTATATCTTCTTCTTACCCCCCCCCCCCTTTCTTTCTGTACTTCCAGATGCTTTTCTCTGTTTCCTTCACCTTCTTTCCACCATGATGTTCTGCTCACCTCAGGCCCCAAGAAATGGAGACAGCTGATTATGGACTCAAACCTCTCAACCCATGAGCCAAATAAATCTGTCTTTCACTAAGTTGTTCTTGTCAGGTATTTTTGGTCACAGTGAGCAAAAGCTGAGTAACACAGCTGGCGAGATCAGATTACAGATATACTAAACCACAGGAACATTTGGGACTGGTGTGTGGTCCTCTTTTTTTTTATTTAATATTTTTTAGTTTTTGGTGGACCTTTATTTTATTTATTTTATTAATTTATTATGATTGCGGTGCTGAGAATTGTACCCAGGGCCTCACACATGCTAGGCAAGCGTTCTACCACTGAGCCACCACCCCAACCCCAATGTGTGTGGTCCTCTTTAGATGTGTTCATAAAGGGAAGGATGGGCACTCACTAAAGGCCGGGCTCAACAGATTTAAAAGTATCTTTAAGGATGAGGAACCCTTCCACCCCTAACACTCAGATCCTTCATTACCTGCTTAAAACATGAGAGTCAAAAAGATTGAGGTTGACTCTTTCTTCGTAATATATGATGTCTTACAGATTTGGGTTTCCTGGGCTCATGGCACCAAGGTGTACACACCCTTTTGACCCTGTGCCTGTAATTTGCCTCAGGTATGAGAAGTGGGGAACAGGGATTCATATATTACGACCTCATACTAGATGTAAGTCTTTTCCTATGTGTAGTTAACTAAATCTCAAATCGATCATCTACCATGATTGAATTCAGCAAGTCCTTTTCTATATAGCTCAAGTATTAACTATCTGTAGAACCATATGCAATAGCCACCAAATATAACTAAATCTCTAGACTCCTAAGAGTACTGTGGGCCACATTTGGCATCATCAGATTCATCTGGAAGGAGAGGTCAGGAATGACAGCTTGGAGTAGGGCATAATTAGGCATTTACCTCCCTGGGAATCACTGTGCTAATCTAGGTAGCAACCCACACAGCTGCTCCCACCACGGCCTAGTAACCACACAGGTGCAAAGGAACAAGACTCACACCATAGTGTGGCCACTGCTCTGACTGAGAAGTCACCTACCCATTAGGAGCCAATACATCATATAACCTCTCCACAAACAGTTTCCAGGAAGCCTGGAGGGCTGAGTTACACAGAGTCCACGCACAGAGAAGCCCCAAACTATCTTTCCCCAACAGGCCTTTACAGTTGTGTCAATCTACATATAATTCATGAATCAAGTGATTGGTGTGGGTGAGGTTACCTAGCAGCTGAATGGACCTTCTACCTTTATCAGGTTTTCAGAGGACATGAGAACAGAAGGTCAATTGTCAATCAGAGCCGGAAAGCTGTTTTAATCCTTACACATATCATTGCACTCTGAAGAGTATATATACATATATATAAAATTTACAGAAAAATTCAAAGAACCATAAGTATTTAGGTACAACTTATTACTGTTTTTGCTGTTCTCAAGCACTATTTGAATTTTTAAACTTGTCTCTGCAGTCCTTTGTCAGATAGAAATTTAAAGTTTTCAAAATAGTTTTATTAGTTGTTGATGAAATTTTTTATTTTATTTAATTATTTGTATGTGGTGCTGAGAATTGAACCCAGTGCCTCACACATGCTAGGCAAGTGCTCTACCACTGAGTCACAACCCCAGCCCATAAAACGTTTTTTTATTTTTTGTTTTAATACTGAGGAATGAACCCAGAGGAGCTTTACCATTGAGCTATACCCCCAGACCTTTTTATTTTTCATTTTGAGACAGTCTTGAACTTGCCACCCTCTGCCTCAGTCTCCAGAGTTGCTGAGGTTAAGGCATGCGCCACTGTACCCAGCTTCCAGCAGGAGTTTTTCCTTTGTTTTTGGTAGTTGTAGGTGGGCAGAATGCCTTTATTTGTTTATTTTTATAGGGTGCTAAGGATCGAACCCAGTGCCTCACATATGCTAGGCAAGCTCTCTGCCACTGAGCCCCAGCCCTAGCAGGTGTTTTTAAAAGATGATTTTGTAGTGTTTCTTAAACTGTAACTATATTGTCTACTAATGGACGACTGATAGTCTTGCATTTCCCTTTGAAATATAAATCATTCCTTTTTCTTATTGAGTTTCACTGCCTGAGATCTCCATTCTGATGCTAACACTAGTAGTGATCACTGGCATCCTTTTTTTTTAATGAGATAGCTTCTGATATTTCACCATCTCACAGGTTTTTTGTTTGTTTGTTTGTTTTATTTTTGGTGCTGGGGATTGAACCCAGGGACACTTAACCACTCAGCCACATCCCCAGCCTTTTCTATATTTTATTTAGAGACAGAGTCTTGCTAAGTTGCTGAGACTGGCTTTGAACCTGCGATCCTCCTGCCTTGGCCCTTTGAGCTTCTGGGATAATAGGCATGACCACTGCACCTGGCTCACAAATATTCTTTACCAAATTAAGGAAATATTCTTCTTCTTTTTAATTTTTTTAAAAAATTTTTAGTTGTAGATGGACACAATACCTTTATTTTGTTTATTTACTTTTTTAAAAAATGTGGTGCTGAGGATCACACCTATTGCCTCACACATGTTAGGCGAGCGCTCTTTAACATTGTAGCCCCTAACCCTGAGCCTTTCCACCTATTTTGCCAGCCATAGTTTTTCCCCCCATGGTGTTTCCCGCTATCTGAAGTACTACATATTTGAATTATTTATTTGTTCTCTGTCTTCTTCTGTTATAATGTTAAGCTCCATCAGGCCAGGTATTTTCTGCCTGTTTGCTTTTACCAGAATTTCATGTAAATGGACCCATAATATGTAATCTTTTGTGTCTGGTGTCTTGCACTTAGCCTAATAAAGTGTTTTTTTTTTTAAATTGGTTTATTTATTTATTTATTTTTTTAAACATCAGAAATTTATTGGTGGCTCAAAACATTACATTGATCTTGACATATCATATATCATACATTTGTTTCAAATGGGGTATGAATTCTTATTTTTCCCCCCATGTACAGATTGCAGGATCACATTCATTATACAGCCACGTTTACACATACTGCCAAACAAGTGTTTGTTTTATTCTGCTGCCCCTCCTATCCCCTTCCTATCCCCCCTCCCCTCCCCTCCCTTCCCTCTACCCCATCTACCATAGCTCATTTCTCTCACTCTCATTTTTTTCTCCCCTTTGCCTCACATCCTCTTATATGTATTTTTGTATAACAATGCGAGTCTCCTTCCCTCTTCTGTGCAATTTCCTCCTCTCTCTCCCATTCCCTCCCACCTCTCCTCTCTATTTGATGGTAATCTTCTTCTCATGCTCTTCCTCTCTGCCTAATAAAGTTTTTTGAGTTCCATAGAGGTATTGATAACTTGTTTCTTTTTATTGTTGTGTAGGAGTATTATTATTTTTTATTTTATTTTTAGGTGGTGCTGAGTATCAAACATACGGCCTCATGCATGCCAGGCAAGCACTCTACCACTGAGCCCCAGCCCCAGCCCAGATTCCACAATATTAATACACTATAATTATTCCACTCACTAGCTGTTAGACATTGGGTTGTTTCCAGTTGTGGGCTACTGTGAATAAAGCTACTATGAACACTTGTGTATATGCTTTTGTACTTATGTTTTTATTTCTCTTGAGTAAATACCTAGGAGTGTAATTACTGAATTGTATGGTCTAAGAAATTGTCAAGTTGTTTTTGAAAGGGGCTGGAGCAGTTTGTGTACTGTTAGCAATGTGTGAGGGGTCCAGGAATTTGCTCCATGTATACACTAGTACTTGTTATGGTAGTTCTTTTTAATTTTTCCATTTGTAGAAGGTGTGTAATGTTAGGTGCAGGGCAGGCTGAACAAATGTTAGCTGCAGGATAGCCCACACACCCAAACCCCACTCTGTCTGGTCCTTTATCACCTGTTTGCATCAAGTCTGAACACTCAACCCCACTCAAGGCTGAACACTCGACCCCCACCCATCTGGTACAAGAGAAACCCACATCTGACCCCTGCCCCATCTGCCTGAAGGCAGAAGATGACACCCTTAGCAACTACTGTATTATCCAATCGCTGTACGCCAACAAGGCAGCTTGCAAACCCAAAGACCCCATTAGATTTTGGCTAAAAACTCCCTCCTGCTGGGCCCCTCTCTCTTGCTCTTGCCCTCTCTTTCTTCTCTTGCTCTATCTCTTGCTGTGTCTCTTCTCTCGCTTTCTCTTTTTCCTCCCCTTTTGCACTGCTGCAATAAAGATCTCTTGGTCGCTCTGAGTGTTGTGGTCACTTTCCTTTCATGTAATGTTACCTCCAGTGCTTCATTTGCATTTCCTTAATACCTAAAGATGCTGCACATCTTGTTTGCTTAATTACTATTTACCTATTTTCTTTAGTGAAGTGGCTGTTCAAATATTTTGCACAATTTAAAAAACTGAGTTGCTTGTCTTCTTATTGACTTTAAAAGGTTATTTATTATAGACACAAACACAAATTCTGTGTTTGTTCTAAAAATGTTTTCTCTTAGCCTCTTCATCTTGTTGACAGTGTCTTTTCAAGAAAAAAAGTTTTGATTTTGATGAAATTCAATTTGTAAATTTTTAGTTTGTTTTGTGCTATATTTTCTTCTATGTAAATATGATAGTTTTAGTTCTTAAATTTATCTGACCTGATTTTTCCAATTCATCTTTACATCTCTGTGCTTAACAATATTGCCCAAACAAACAAACAAACAAACAAAAAACAGGTGCTGAAACCTGTTGCAAGTGTTTGGACATTAACACAGGTGGCCGTTCTCTAGGCCCCAGGTATTTTAGGGAATGCTGTGGCACCTCTTTGCTGTGTGATTGACATTTCTATCTGATCAACAAGACAAGGAAACCAGTGTGACCTGTCCCATTCAGTGATAAGTTCCCTCATAGGAATGTGCTCTCTCCTTATGGGAAGTCAAGCTAGGAACACATTACAGAAATTGACCTCACCCCTCTTCTCATCCAAAACGTTTTGCTTACTTCTGCATTGGTGAATTCCCCACTAAGCTGCAAGCTATCCAAGGCAGATTCGGGTGTCTTGTTTTCTTTTTTTTTTTATTTTTAAATTTTTTATTGTGGGTTGGGTGTCTTGTTTTCTATCTCTGTGTTTGAGACGTATTTTAGTAAATATCTTCTGGATGACAGGAAGACTCCCTGGGTCTGCTGTTCTGCTGTAATGGAAGATACCAGAAGGTGTGGTGCAGTTTCCATGTCCACTCCTCATTAAGTTCAGAATCATTTTCCTGCAATATTTAAAGCCTTCGTAGTACGCCCCAGCCTTTAGCACAGCGCCTGGCATGCAGTAAGGAACGGAGAGCAAAATGAGAACTTTTGTACAAAGTCCTAAAGCCACCATTGGGCAACCTTCAGGCGTCACATGCGGTGAAAAACACTGGGGATGGAATCCCAATTCCTCGGGGCCACACAGCCAACTCCCTGGTTAAGCCCTTTATTTCGAAAATTTCGGGTTTGCGTGGACCCATGGATGCCTCCCTGTTAGGAGCGAGCCGCGAAACGCGAAGCCCGGGATCTGAGAACTTCGTGGATTCAGAATGCTCACGCCGCGTGCACCGCAGCACGGGTCGCCTAGCAACGGCGGGTCGATCGCTCGGCGCTCGACCAGATCGGGCCGGCTTGGAGACGCGGCGCTCCGTGCGGAGCCTCTCGCGGCCCGCCCCCTCCGGCCCGGGTCCCCGAGGTGCGCACGCGCGGAGGGGAGCCGGCCTGGGGGAGGGGCGCGTGCACGGGGGGCGGGGCGGGGGGGCGCCGAGAGTGGCTGAGGAGCCGGAAACGCGCCGCGGAGGGTGCGGCGCTGAGGCGGCGGCGGGGCCGGGCGGGGCCGGGCGGGGCCGGGCGGGAAACGTTAGGGGAGCGGCCCCGGAGTGCGGGGGTCGAGGGCGGGGAGGGCCCCAGGCCAGCTCTGCCCGGATGAGGAACAAAGCGGAGGGGCAGGTGCGCGCCCCCCGCGCGGCCGGCAGGTGGGCTGCGCGTGGGCCGGGCGGGCGAGGGCGGCCTGCGGGCCCGAGGCCGGCGGGCGGGCGAGGTGGCCGCCCTGGAGGCGCTGTCGCGGCGCCTGCGGCTCTGCAGTGGCGAGGAGTCTGGGTCTGTTAGCTCCCAGTGTTTGGTGACCGCTCTTTCCACCCCCAGGTTGGGCAGCTCCTCCCCGAAGCTTCTGGAGGAAAGGCCCTGGGTGTCCCCCGGCATGCCCCATCCCGCGGCGGGGTGCGCGGCCACCGGCCCTCGGGAGAAGTTGGGCGGCCCCGGGCGGCCCCGAGGACGAGTGGCCGCGGTCGTGCAGCGGTTGTGAGCAAGATGCGGTAGCACGTGACGCTGGAACGCAAACCCTGATGCCGGTTCCCCGGAGCGCTTTTCTCTGCGACGCTTGGCCCGAAGCTGATGCATCACAGGTGAGTCAGGGCGAGGGCGCAGCGCAGGTGACATCGTTGGCAAGCATCTGGCAGATGAATGTCCGAGTTGGTGCTTTTGTTTTTGGTGTCAACGAGAGGACTACAGGTGTGATTTGCATATGGGTTTGTGTCCCTAAGGAAACGAAACCCAGAAACTAGCGTTGGGTTGAAGGCACTCTCCTCCGTCCTGATTTACTCTGAGTGTGAACAGTTGTTCTAAATTAGATACAGACATTTATTGTTGGTTGGTTGACCCCTTTCTCCTATGTGTTTGAGTTATTTGAGCTTTAATAATATCTTTATCAGGAAAGTGTTTTTTTTTCAACCCTTCCCTCCTGCCTGCCCGCCTTCCGCATCGTGCTCACCGTGAGTTTTGTTGGTTACCCTGTGGCAGGGATGGTAGAGAGGGGAGATTACGTTCTTAATCCTGCAGGCTTCATGCGGATGCTTAAAGTACTTTAGGAACCATACCTGTACAGTACAGAAGCAGACCAAAGGCACAGCCAGGGTTGCCTCCTGTTTTTCAGGATCTTTTCAAAGGCTGTGTGTTTAGAATGAGGAAGATAAAACACGAATTCATTGAAGTTATCCAGATTGTCCGTTTGTATTGCAAAGTGTGCATTTCAGTTAGCTTCTTATATGTCATTCCAGGAAAAGGTGTGAGACCAATAACTGGCCAGTGTTTACACAGATCAGTTAAAAATACATAAACTGTACAGGAGTGTAGGAAATGAGTAGGGAAGTGGCCCTTTCTTCCAAGATTGCTTCTTAGAATCCCCCCTGAGAAAGGTAATTAGAATACAGTTGCCCTTTAGAGTAAGAAAATCTTATGAGGAACATATTGTACATTCCCTTCCTTTGCCTCTCTCTGTGGGATTCTAGTTACCTCTAGTTTATGGCTGCTGAGGTCATCACATTTTAGTGACTCAGAACAAAGCAGAAATCTGCTGAGCCTGTTACATTAAACTCTGGTTGGAACTGGTTTGAGAAGGCCCAGAAGTCAACCTAGAAACACCATTTTGGTTTTTAGATTAATATTCAGGAATTTTCAGAATGGGAGCTAAAACTGAAGATATTAAGTTTTGCTTTAAAAAATAATTGTAACCAATTTGTTGTGGGCTCTTAAATGTTCCAGCGATTATTGTGTTTTAGTTATGGTTATAGCTATAAAAAGTTATGGGAAAAGTCTGTTTTAAACCAAGTCAAGCTCAAAATCTTTCAGAATTTAAGGTAGCTATGGTTTCTTTAGGCTACAAGAAGTTTTGCATTCTTTTGTAATAAAGTACTGTTATCAGTGTACTGTCCATATGTTGTGCTTCATTTGCCATGTGATTCTAGATGTCTCTCTAGCAAGGATGATGAGTTTTACATTGCACCATCAAATCAAAATGTTCAGAGTGCCTTTTCTACGCAAGAGACTATACTAGGTTTACCTTGTATATTTAGTTGGTGTCCAAGAGCTTAATTTTTTGAGATAACCTGGCTAGGAAAAAGGGCGAACTCTGTAAGTGTAGAATAATTTAAGATGCAGGTGTTTGTGGGACCCTAAGATATACCCTACAAAATAGGTCCTAATGCATTTAAACTGTATAAAAGGCAAAGCAATTCTTTTTTTTTTTTTAAGATATTTGTTTATATTATAGACCTAAGAGATTTTCTCATTTTTATTTTATTTATATGTGGTGCTGAGGGCCTCACATAAGCCTAGGGCCTCATGTGTGCTAGGTGAGCGCTCTACCACTGAGCCACAACCCCAGCCCCCAAAGCAATTCTTTTTTTTTGTAATTTTCTTATCATAGTTAAGAGGTTTCTCCTTCTCCTCCTCCTTTTTGTTACCAGGGACTGAATTCAGGGGTGCTTAACCACTTAGTCACATCCCCAGCCCTATTTTTATATTTTATTTAGAGACAGAGTCTAACTAATTTGCTGAGGCTGGCTTTGAACTCTCTATCCTGCTGCCTCAGCTTCCCAGGAAGCTGGGATCACAGGTGTGCACCACCACACCCAGCAAGAGTTTGTGTTTCTTAAATTAGATCTGGGTTTAAATCCTGACTCTATACTACCTCTGACTAGTTATGTGATTTTTTTTTTTTTTAAGAGAGAGAGAATTTTTTTTTTTTTTTAATAATTTATAGTTTTCGGCGGACACAACATCTTTGTTTGTATGTGGTGCTGAGGATCGAACCTGGGCCGCACGCATGCCAGGTGAGCGCACTACTGCTTGAGCCACATCCCCAGCCCAAAGTTATGTGATCTTTTTAGCCTCTCTGAGTCTAATTTCCTCATCTTTAAAGTGAGATTAACAAAGAACAAAACAAAAAAAACCCTATCTTACGGTGTTTATGAGGATTAGAAGAGATAGTTACATGTAAATCTCTTAGCTCAGTGCCTAACTCATGATAAGGCAGTAATAAGTATTAGCTATTATTAGTTCCGGTTTGGTTGTTAAAATATCATTGCTGTTTTTCAAAATTAAAAACCTATTTGGTTTTGACTTCACTGCTAAGGAATATGGAGCCCCATTTGATTCCCTTCCCCCCTTCTAAATATAGGTACATATACAGAGAAGAATGCCTAACACTGTTACCCATTGTAAGGATTAAAAGTCATAGAGATCTTTTACTGTTGTGTTGACTAGCCTCTTTAAATGGTAATGATTATAATATGATATCTCTGAATTCTGATTAAGAACTAATACTTTTAAAAAATAACCTCCAATAATGCCTTATTCAAATCAGTGTTACTCTTATTTTAAAGTTGTTTTTAGTGGCACTGCAAGATGGATTGCGTAGAAAAGGTGATTTTTGATTCTTTAGCCTGCCAAAAATGGTCGGTGTATTAGAAAACAGTTTGGTATATTGAAAAAGTAAACTTTTGGGCAGCATTTTGCAAGATGTTTTATGTTCTTTCATTAATCACTCTTATGATTTGGGGCATATGACATGCCACTCCACCTTTGAGTTTCAGTTTCCTCATATACCTTATTTTGCAGAACTGGTATGAGGATTCAGAGTAATATTTAGTAATGTTCTAGCAAAGCTTATGTAATGAACCTTGATAGTTAAGGGATAGTAAGAGTATTGATTGATTACTAAGGTATTTAAAACAATTTTTTTTTAAGTTATAGATGGACACAATAGCTTTATTTATTTACTTTTATGTGGTGCTGAGGATCAAACCCAGTACCTCACACCTGGTAGGCTAGCACTCTCCACTAAGCTATAACCGCAGCCCCTACTAAGGTATTTTTAATAAAATAAAATATTGACCCCTGGGAAAAGTATGCTGCTTCTTCACCCCATTGGTGATCTGAATCAGACCCATTATTGCCTCAATTCCAGGTAAAAAGGATTAGTAAAAATTTTTGAATAGTTGTAAGTAATAAACCAATTAGAGAAAATAAATATTGTGAGAAGAAAGTCATTGCCAACATGCTGTACAGATTACAGACTTTTCTTTGAATGATATGCATGGGGTTTGGAACAAGGCTGATCTGAATTCAGACCTTGTTTCTGCTAATAACATTCATGTGAATTAACTTCTCTGAATCCTAGTTTTCTTATTAGCAGAAAGAATATCACATTAGCTATCTCAGAGAGTTCAGAGCATAGAAACAAATAGTTAGTTGATCAGGCCATGTCCCCATCCCCACAAATTCAGATTCTTAGACATCTTTTTTTTTTTTTTCTTCCCAAGGTTTTTTTAAGGTGTTGATGGACCTTGATTTTATTCATTTATTTATACGCAGTGCTGAGAATTGAACCCAGGGCCTCACACATGCTAGGCAAGTGCTCTATCACTGAGCCACAACTCTAGCCCCTCTTGGACATCTTAACATGAAGTCACTGAGGTAATTTTCTGTATAACTGGTTGTGTATGATCTTTCCTAGGATGAATGAAATGAACCTGAGCCCAGTGGGGATGGAGCAGCTGACTTCATCCTCTGTGAGCAATGCCTTGCCAGTCTCAGGAAGTCACCTGGGTTTGGCTGCCTCACCTACTCACAGTGCCATCCCTGCCCCAGGTGAGCGGTAAGGGAGTGCCTCTGCATTTCAGTGCTTCATCACCTTAACACTGCCAAGTGGAGCCTAGAGGAGATTGGAGTGCTTTTAAGGGTGGAAATAACTGGAAAGACCTGAATGGCTGTCCCACATGGGGTAGCATAGAAGAAAATATTTTGCAGAGTTGCAGAGTTCTAGTGGATAAGAGGAGTAGTAGTTATTATTTTTTTTTGTCTTATGGTCTCTTTTTGATTGGTAGCATTTTGTCCAAAGTTTGGCATTCCTTCTGGATTATCCACTCATCTGGTTCTCATCTTGGTACCTTGTCCCTGGGTTAATAAAGAGAATCAGTTAAATTTACTCTTTAATTCCCAGAAGCACAGGGAATGGGGCTTTATTGCTAGATATGAAACTGAACAACTGGAAATGTGCCAGACATGGAATTCTGGAAAAGAGGTGGTCCCAGGGATGTAGCTCCTCTGGAGAGCTCCCTATGAGCCTTGTCACTCAGAGAATAATACAAGAAGAATTCATTCTTCCCTGTTGCTGTACTATTTTTCTTTTGTCTAGTTTTATTTTTCCTATTGAAGTGGAGAAGAAATGAATAAGCTATTGATTTTTAAGGATCTGTGACATTGAAATATGCTAGACTTTTATCAAAATAGGAGTTAGTATTAGGATTATTTTAGATAGATCTATAAGTTATCTATTTAGTTCTCTGTAGAGAGTTATCTGACTAATTAGTAAAATACAGCAGTTGGATAAGATTAATCAAAATTAATATCTCTTTACACTTAAGTGTCCGCAAAAGAAATTTAAAAAAAATTACTTAGTGGTTAACCCAGCTGATTGTCTCTTCGGCATTCCTTTTAGTGGACACTCTTGTTGAGGAAAAGCTTATTAAAAAATATTGCTCCTGACACAAATATGCAAAATCAGCACTGTCCAGGTGGTTGAGTATTCATCATGATACTTAGGCATAGTAAGGGCCACTTCAGCACTTCGAAAGTAGATATGTTTCAAGATAGATGTAATCTAAGCTTTAAATTTTTTATTGATTGTGAGGCACAGAATATATACAAAAGACTGTATGAAAGTGTATATGTATGATTTTACATCTCACTTTGAATTGCACTCTTACAAGTAGAAGCATATCTGAATTTTTAAAAAGTGAACCATTCCACCATATAGAAAGGAAAATACAAAGTAAAAAAGAAAAACCATACTCCACTCCTTTGAACAATTCTTTCTTTTTTTTTCCTGAATATAATTTCTTCTCTTTTTAAAGGTTCTTTAAACTAGGTTTTTAATTATAAATTAAATGTTTTGGTGCTTAACCGTTTTGTCCCATTGTTCTAGTTGTGAAACATCTGTAAACACTTAAAAACAATATATTTTATATGTGTGTATATATATGTATGTGTATATGTGTGTATATATATGTATGTATGTATGTGTATATATATGTATATACACACACTGTGTTTATAAAATGAAAACACAATTTTAATAATAATTATATTAATATAATTACATATATATTATGACTTTCAAGCTATTTTAATACATTGTTGTCATTATAATACAGCATTGAAAACTTGGGACCTAATGGGTTAAGAGCAGTGCAGACAACTGGAGGATCATCTTTTATTTATAAACTAACTTGGGAACTAATTCTGGGACTAAAGCTATTTTGCTTTGTCATGTGTTTGGATATTTGTCTGTCTAGGGATGAGAAAGCCTACTAAATTAAGATTTTTGCTCATATGCAAGAAGTTTTGTGAGTTTAGTCAGTGGCTGTGGAGAGAATTTTTAAAATTTATTTTCTTTAAGAAAAAATAATTTTTTTTTTTGTAGGTCTGCCAGTGGCAATTCCAAACTTGGGTCCCTCCCTGAGCTCTCTGCCTTCTGCTTTGTCTTTGATGCTCCCAATGGGTATTGGGGATCGAGGGGTGATGTGTGGGTTACCTGAAAGAAACTATACCCTACCTCCACCACCTTACCCCCACCTGGAGAGCAGTTACTTCAGAACCATTTTACCTGGTAAGTTTTATAGTTCTTTGTTAGAAAAAAAAAAAAGCACAGAGCCAACTTTTAAACACAGTTCTTGAAGATTTGAATATGACTCTTTTTTCTTTGTCATTATTAGATATTAATGCCAAGGTTGGGGGTGGTTGTTTATATTTATGTTCTTTCCTCTAAGAATGTGCACATATTCATTCTTTCTTTTTTGGTACCAGGGATTTAACTCAGGGATGCTTAACCTCTGAACCACATCACCAGCCCCCAGCCCTTTTTTTTTTTTTTTTAAATTTCAGATAGGATCTTACCAAGTTGCTTAGGGCCTCACTGAGTTGCTGAGGCTGGCTTCAAATCTGCGATCCTCCTGCTTCAGCATTCTGACCTGCTAGGATTATAGGCATGTGCCACCATGCCTGGCTAATGTATTCTTCATATAGCAGTTCGACTAACCTGAATTTGTTAATTGCACATAAACAGTTTTTCTTTTTCCTCCTTTGGCATCTTCTTGGTTCAGTTTTTTCTTTTTCTTTCTTTTTTTTTTGGCGGGGTGGTGGATACTGGGGATTGAATCCAGGGGTGCTTTACTGTTGAGCCACATTTTAATTTTTAATCAAATTTTATTTTATTTATTTTTATTTTTTATTTTTTTATGATGTTGGGGATTGAACCCAGAGCCTTGTGTATACAAAGTAAGCACTCTACCAACTGAGCTATATCTCCCAACCCCTTTTTTATTATTATTATTATTTTAAATACTTTCAGTTATAGATGGACACAATACCTTTATTTTATTTATTTATTTTTTTTATTGTGATGCTGAGGATCGAACCCAGTGCCTCACATGTGCTGGGCAAGTGTTTTACCACTGAGCCACAACCCCAGCCCCCTTTTTTATTATTTTAAGATAAGGATATCACTAAGTTGCTGAAGCTAGTCTTGAACTTGTGATCCTCCTGCCTCAGCCTCCTGAGTTGCTAAATTACAGGCGGTTGCCTCCTCATTGGGCTTTTGATTCAGTGTTTCTAATACCTACCCACCACATACCCTGTTTCAGTGCCATTGTTTTTTAAAATTTATTGAATTTTTGTTCTTTAGAAAAGTGTTAGAGGGAAACTCTCAAAGTCCCTGCGAACATATTTTTAGTGTACTTCCTGTCTTTTATTTTGGGTATAGGCTTTTATTGTTTTTCATAATTAAGGTCGTATTTGTAAATGATTGCATGCATGATTGTTTACTTTTTAACTTAGTAGTTTGCTCTGCTCTGCATATTTTTCCATGCTGCTCTGTGCTTTTCATAATTATCCTTTTTAATGACTCATTCCATTCTACTGAACACATATTCTGTAGTTCATTATATTAGTCTTTATTGCTGGACAGTTTTGTTTTCCAGGTTTTACTCCCATTGTAACTGATGTTGTTATGAATATCTTTGTGTATAATATTTACAAAAATGCACTTAGGGAAGGTCATCATAATCAGAATTTCTTGTGCAAGATGTGAGTATTTTTGAGGTTCTTCATAGATGTACTTTTCAAAGAGGTTTTAGTAATTTACACTATACTAGCAGTGCAACAAGTACCATTTCACTACGTCCTTACAAGCACAAGTTCAAAAGTTTTTTTGGAGTTGGGAATATGGTAGAGCACTTGCTCAGCATGCTTGAGGCCCTGGTTTCCATCCCAACACTACACTCTTTATGTTTTGTTTCAATAGAATTGATACATTCCTGACTTGTTTTGGGTAGAGTTTAATGTGTTGTGATAGTTTAGTCAGTTAAATATAATTTATTAGTAGAAGATTTTAACAAAATCTGCATTCAAATCATTTGTTTAGTTTCTTAATAGAGCAAATTTTAGCATCTTAGGACTCAGGAATTGCAACCATGTAAATATTAAAGGAAGCATTTAAATGACTTATTTCCACCTGGCCTCAAAGGAATATGGCTAATTTTTTTAGGATTTCACAGGAAAAAACTTATTTATGTTGTAAGTAGGTTGCTATTTATAAAATATGGATATTGATTAAATTGAAGTAGATTTTAGTTACATTTATAAGGAAAATAGTTTCTAGTACTTGGAATTTTTAATATATAGCAATGTAAAAAGTCTCTGATACCTAATCTTTTGTTTTTCTCAGGCATTTTATCTTATTTAGCTGACAGACCACCTCCTCAGTACATCCATCCCAACTCTATAAACGTTGATGGTAATACACCATTATCCATCGCCAATAACCCATCAGCACTTGATCCCTATCAGTCCAATGGAAATGTTGGATTAGAACCAGGCATTGTTTCAATAGACTCTCGTTCTGTGAACACACATGGCGCCCAAAGCCTTCATCCTAGTGATGGCCATGAGGTGGCTCTGGACTCAACAATCACCATGGAGAACGTTTCTAGAGTTACCAGCCCAATCTCTACTGACGGAATGGCAGAGGAGCTTACAATGGATGGTGTTGCAGGCGAGCATTCCCAAATCCCAAATGGCTCCAGAAGTCATGAACCTCTCTCTGTGGATTCTGTGAGCAACAACCTTGCAGCAGACACAGTAGGACATGGTGGTGTGATACCCATTCATGGGAATGGCCTGGAGCTCCCTGTGGTCATGGAAACAGACCACATTGCAAGTCGAGTCAACGGGATGTCTGATAGTGCTCTCAGTGATTCCATCCACACTGTGGCCATGAGCACCAACTCTGTAAGCGTGGCACTCTCTACCTCACACAACCTCGCCTCCCTAGAATCTGTTTCCCTCCATGAAGTTGGCCTCAGCCTAGAACCTGTGGCTGTCTCCTCTATCACCCAGGAGGTTGCCATGGGTACAGGTCATGTAGATGTATCTTCAGACAGTCTTTCTTTTGTACCACCGACACTGCAAATGGAAGACTCCAATTCAAACAAGGAAAACATGGCAACTTTGTTTACAATTTGTGAGTGTGCTTAGCTTTTCTTTTTGGAAATATTGGTTTTAAAAGGCCATCATGCCTAAGAGGTTTAAACACAAAATCTGGCACAGATTAAGGGAGTATGGAAAGTTATTAGACTTTGGAATTTTTCTTTTCCTTTGTAATCTCCTTTGATTATTGTGGCTCCTTTTTCTTAATTAAGCTAAATGGTGTATACTTCACTGGTTCTTCCAGTGTCCACTTGAAGAAAAGTAATCATTTCTGTATTTTACAGATAAGTATTAAGGTGTTTCCAAGGTCTTACAAATAGAGTTCCAGGAGTAAACTGTCCTAAAGCTAAATTGTGTGACATGACTTGGGTACTTTCAACACAAGACCAAAAGAAAAAAAAAATATGAGATCACTTTTATAACGCAATGGAAAATATAAGTGGATGTCAATGCATTTTTTTTTCCTTAGAATACATATCATGTAGAAGTTCTTTTTATTGGGCAACAATAACAAAAAATTGTAAAAGTGATCACACTGTATGCCTCATTCATGCAAACAACATGTTGTGCTTTCAGTATACCAACCTGTGTGCTAGATGCTGGGAGTAGAGCAGTCTTTAGAGAGCCTCTGTGATGGGAAGCATAGATAAGTGAATAGGTACTGAGTTGCCACAATTAAAGTGAGGGGTGATGATTTTCCAAGTGAGAGTAGAGATATTGAGGATGAAGAAATTAGAGATCATTTACAAAGAACTCAGCAGAGCTTGTGGACTGGATAAAGTTGGGGAAGGGGAAAAGTTTAAGAGAAAACCCTTATTTTTGGCATGGGAATCTAGGTAGATAGAATAATGAAAGAAGAGATTGGATTATTACATTTTTTGGAGTGAGGGTAAGTTCAGTTTTAGGCATTTGATTTGTGTCTATAAGATGCCCAGTAGAAATATCTAATGAAATGTTGAATTTGGAGCTCAGGAAGGATCTGACTAAATATTTAGAGAGTATGACAACCAAGATGTTGACTGTGGCTAAACTGTCTAGTATAAGTGTACAATGAGAAGAGAAGAGGGCAAGGGGTATCCAGATAAGCAATGGAGGGAGAGCTTCCAAAGTAGACTGCCCAGGAGAGTCAAAAAGGAGGAAGCCCACCATGGTGTGGGCTGCAGAAGTCAATCAATATGTTGATCATGTTGTATTAACCTTTAAAATCTCAAGTTTATAAGGTGTAAATATTTTTTCTTTTTCGTATTGGGAATTGAGCTCAGGAGTACTTTATCACTGAGCTACATCTCCAGCCCTTTTTGTTTTTTGGGTCTCACCAGGTTGCTAAGGGTGACCTGGAACTTTGGATCTTCCTGCTTCAGCCTCCCAAGTTGCTGGGATTACAGGCATTCACCACTGCACCTGGCTTAGGTGTACATTTTAAAGTATACAGTGTAGCAATTTTCAGTATATTCAAAAGTTGTGCTGCCATTACCACTGTCTTAATTCCAAACGTTTTAATCAACCCATAAAGAAACCTTATACCAGGGCTGGGGATGTGGCTCAGTGGTAGAGCTCTCGCCTTGCATGTGTGCGGCCCTGGGTTCGATCCTCAGCACTACATAAAAAATAAATAAATAAATAAAATAAAGGTATTGGGTCCAATTACAACTAAAAAGTAAATATTAAAAAAACGAAGCCTATACCCATTAGCAGTTATTCCTCATGCCCTCCTTCTACTCAATTCTCAGACACTATTAATCTACTTTCTATCTCTATGGATGTGTATATTCTGAACATTTCATGTAAGTGGAATCATAGTATATGTGACCTTCTGTCTCTGGCTTCTTTATTTAGCATATTATTATCATGGCTCATCCATGTTGTAGCATGTGTCAGTACTTCATTCCTTTTTATAGCTGACTGTTATTTCACACTCTGAATATGCTGCACTTTAGCCATTCATCAGTGGATGTACTTTTGGTTGTTTCTACTTCATGACTATTATGAATACTGCTATGAACATTCATGTACAAGTTTTTGTATGAACAGATGTTTTTAATTGTCTTGGATACACATCTAGGAGTGGAATTACTCTATTTTTGACTTTAAAAAGTTTGGATTAGGGAAATAGCTCAGTGGTAGAGCACTTGACCAACATGCATGAGGCCCTGAGTTTAAAGCCCAGCACTGCAGTATAGATACATAAATAAATACACACTTTTACAAATTTTAATTGACACACAGTATATGACACACATATTTATGGGGTACAGTGTTTATATTTAACCTCTTGGGAATTAGCCAGACTATTTTCTGAAGTGGCTGTACCATTTTGCATTCTTAGCAATATATGAGGGTTCCAATTTCTCTATATTCTTACCCACATATATCATTTCTTTATGTTTTTATTATAGCCTAGTAATGTGAAGTAGTATCCCATTGTGGTTTCTACTTGTATTTCCCTAATGACTAATTTTGCTAAACATCTTTCCTGTATTTATTGCCGTTTGTGTGTCTTTTGGAGAAACCTTTAATCATTTTTTCTCAATATGAAGTCTGAATCTCCTTTGGAGGTTATTTCTCCTAAGAACAATGGAGACTCAGTTCTCATCAGGTGTAGGGGATCTCTAATCTGATTAGTCACATTTTTTTTTTTTTAATCAAGTAGTAGTTGAAGTAGTAGCTATACTACTGTTTTTCCTGAATATGAAAACTTGGACATTTTATTCCGCTGAAGTGCAAATTTCAGATGGATTGTTTAGCAAAATAAGACAGATGGCTGTGGTTCTAAGGTTTATTTTTGTGTTCAGCTACTTTGTGAAGGAATTTGGAAAGTTGAACTCAGTCATTGAATAACAGTGTCATGAATACTGTTCCTTAACACACAGAAAGGGAAGTTTAAAGAACAGAACAAAACGTGTGGAAAAGCACGCTCGTTACACCACATGAGCTGGGCATGGTGGCACATGCCTGTAATGCCAGCACCTGGGGAGTTTAAGGCAAGACTATTACAGGTTTTGAGGCCAGTCTGGGCAAGTTAGTGAAACCCTGTCTCAAAGAAGAAAAAAGACTGGGGATGTAGCTAAATGGCAGAGCACCCTTAGGTTCAATCCCCAGGACTGAAAACAAACAAAACCCCCAAAGAACAGTGAATGAAGGCAGTACCCTCTCTAACAATGCAAAAAGATGGAGTGCATGAAAAATAAGAAAAATTTGGTGCACGTAGGTCTGCAAGAATATGATTTTTCCTGTTCTCCACAAGAGTGGATCATTGGTTATTTTTTTAATTTATTTTTTGTCTTCTTTAGAATGTGTTGTCAAAACTAGGCTTGGTGTAGCTGGCTTAACCCCTCTGTCCATACTGCCATCTTTTCTCCCACTCTGCATGACTAACATTTCAATTCAGTTTTCTCTTACAGTTCAGAATTGTAATCATTTGCACTTTAGGGTACCCTATCCAAAAGTATTGCTTATCTACTTAATGCAAGGGATAATAATACTTGGTTGTTGAAGTAATACAGTGTTACTTTTTAACATTTATTGTAGTGCTGGGGATCAAACCAAGGCCTTGTTTGTGCTAGGCAAGTGCTCTACCATGGTGCTATTTCTCCAGTTTCTCTTTTATCAGTTTTTCTTTTATGCACTGAATAGGAAATTTATCCTGTCATATCTAAAGAAAATTAGATTTTGTTGAATCCTGAAGAAGTATAAGCATGGACATATATAAATTTAATATAAGAAAGTTGTTCTTTGATTACAGTATTTCTGTTAGAACTATGTCTTACTGGTTACATTTTAGGAATTAGCATTTAAATTAAAAAAAAGTCATAATTTAACCTGTGAACTACACCCATTTGTGTTTCTCAAATTTGGTCTTTATAGGGTGCACTCTTTGTGACCGAGCCTATCCTTCAGATTGCCCTGATCATGGACCAGTGACTTTTGTTCCTGATACTCCAATAGAGAGCAGAGCAAGACTTTCTCTCCCAAAGCAGCTTGTTCTTCGACAGTCAATTGTGGGAGCAGAAGTTGGTAAGAATCTTGGCACATCAAGTTTCTTTTTAATAGGGTAGAGCTGTAAGAGTGGATGTGTATAATTTATATTATTCAGTGATTATTGATCCAAAAATCTGTTTATGGCTTAGGATAGTTTTAGAGAATATTTGTCGTATTTAGGGTGCAGTAAATAAAGTTGCAAACTTTATTGGGCAACCTCCCCTTTTTTAGAAACAGGTTTAAGTAGAGGAAAGAGTCCTGGCTTGAGTCTTTGAAGCCTTGACTTTTATTCTAGCTGTTTCATCCACTAACAATTATACTAACAGCACACTCCTTGAAACTTGTGTATTAAAAACATCAAAAATTTACCATGGACAATTGTATGGCACAAAAGATGTTTGATCAGATATTTGTAAGTTCTCTAATACTCCTTTGGAAAAAGGAATAAGGAATGTGGACTGTCAGAGTACGTTTTCCCATATGTGAATTTAACGTGGCTTTCAAGTTCCTATGCTGTTTTTTGAAGATATGAAATTAGGTTTGTTATTCTTTCAGCTACGGCTTGGGCTTAAGCCTTGAAAGTACTAAATGGCTTATATAATATAGAGCAGTGCCTTAAGCATGAAAGATTTTAGAAGTTTGATTTTTTTTTATAGTAATTGCTTTATATTTTTATAATAGAACAATGTTTTCTGTACTTTCTTGTGTATTAACTTTAAAGTAATGTATTTGGAAGGACAAGGTCAGTTTCCTTATACATACAACTAGGTTTAGGAATTTCTGATACTGCTTCTTACTCTGCATTTCTTCTGAGTGCTGTTGAATCCATTCATTGCATTTTACTTATTTACAGGCCAGGACCTTTCAGGCCTTAGCTATCTCTCAGGAGTGCTGACTTGTTTGTAGTACTTAAGGTCATTGAAAATGAGTCTTTGAATGAGTTAAGCACCTGTGTCAGTATTGTGTTAGTTTTTAAAGTCATTGATTGTGTAGTTGGTGTCCGTCCACTGATAGGTGTATGGACTGGAGAAACCATTCCTGTGCGCACCTGCTTTGGGCCCCTTATTGGTCAGCAGAGTCACTCCATGGAAGTCGCAGAGTGGACAGACAAGGCTGTTAACCATATTTGGAAGGTCAGTGCTGATGTAATTTTTCTGAATTTTGGCTGTTTTTATTATAATGTGGTAGTTTTAAAAAGTGATATAAAGTAAGAATTAGCCAGAACTAATGCAGTGAGTGCCATTTAGCTGTCAGTCTTTTCTATAATATTACATTCTTTTTGTTATTCTTGATGGTCAAATTCTATAGCACAATACCAGCTACTGAACAAACAGGATAAACTGTTTTCATCTCCATTTTGTGAGCTAATCCAACCATTTTGATCCTTTTTATGCATTTTAATTACTTGCTGCAGCTGAGAAATTTGTTTATGTGATGTTTTTAATTAAAACATTCCTTAAATATTTAGCTTAAGAAACAATTCTAGGATTGGAAACTAAGATTATTTCTCTAGTTTTCTAATGGAAATGCAAAATTTTGACTTACATATTTGTTCCTATAACATGTTTTGATAGAATCTCAATGAATTGGAAATAATGCTTGCAAAATTGAAGTGGTGAGAAAGTAGGTCTTATGATAATCAGAAAAGTAAGGTGCCACTGTCATTGGGAACTTCAGTTTTGATGTCCAAAATAGAACACAAAACAATGCTAGGTCCAACAGGAAAAACGAGGAGGGGTGGTCTTTTGCCCTTAGTGAATAGTCAGTTACTCTGTGTCTGCCTTGTGGTAGTGATGAATATGGTTGGATAAGAAGACTTTTGTTTTTCTTTTTTGTATATTTTCTAACTAAAAAGTGAATAATCAAGAACAAAGTCATTTTGTACTCTGAGTACTAACTGGAGGTCTCTGATGCTCTTTAATCTGTTGTGAGATAGGATTGGTGAAGTGATAAGCATGTGGAGAAGGCAGTCATGTATTTTCACACTGATTAGGAAAGTGGGGATCTACTGTACATGAGCAGATGAATGGATTGCTGACCAAAATTTAGTGTAGTACTTTATCACTTGTCAGTTCATGTGACATGTGTCTGCTTTCTTTTGGCAGATATACCACAATGGTGTCCTAGAATTCTGCATCATTACAACTGACGAAAATGAATGTAATTGGATGATGTTTGTGCGCAAAGCCAGGTAAGAGTAGTTGTGGATGAGAGAAGTTGGTTCCCTTCTGGTATTTTTCAGTAAGAAGCTTTGTATAAAATTTGAAAGGACTGAAGAATCCACGTTACATAAGTACCTGCACATATTTATTTATTTTTAAAGAGAGGGAGAGAGAGAAAGAGAGAGAGAGAATTTTAATATTTATTTTTTTTTAGTTCTCGGCGGACACAACATCTTTGTTTGTATGTGGTGCTGAGGATCGAACCCTGGCCGCACGCATGCCAGGCGAGCGCGCTACCACTTGAGCCACATCCCCAGCCCCAACCTGCACATATTTAAAACTAAGACTTTTCAATATCGTCACTCTAGTGGTGGTTGAATAATGGTGATTTTTATAAATCAGAACACACAGAACTACCCAATTTTTAAATTTTTTTTGTTGTTGTTGTAGAGGGACACAACACCTTTGTTTATTTAGTTTTTTATATGGTGCTGGGGATTGAACCCAGCGCCTCACACGTACTAGGCAAGCGCTCTACCACTGAACCACAACCCCAGCCCAGAACTACCCTGTTGAGAGCCGAGTAGGGATGGCGCCTAGCATTTTGCCAGTAGGAGTGGTTGAAAGGTGATGCCAGCGAGCCATTAAAATGATGATAATTAAGTTAAGCTGTGTATAATTGCTATGACTGGATGATGCTGGATTGAAACAGGCTATGTATTCAGTTGTATATAGACCCCTGCAGTCAGGCAATAGGGCAGCTCCTGCTGCCTCGGGAGTTCCCATTAAGTGGAAGGGGGAGAGAGTTGGGAGAGAGTTCCTGGGGAGTGCGTGTGGAGTGCCGGTGGAGTTCGGATAATAAAGGAGTTCCTCATGACCTTCCGATTTGGTGCCCAGCCAGACTGTGGCACTACCCTTTTTTAATAGGTTCTTCAGCTTACCAATGTAATAAGGAATGTATAGTCATTGAATTTGCAAAGTTTTCCTTTATATTGGCTCTTAGTCAACCCTTTAGGCTATTGCTGGAGTTAATTTTTTTTCAAATGTGCACTACTGAGGATTGAACTCAGGGGAATTCTACTATTGAGCTATGTCCCCAGTCTTTTTTAATTTTTATTTTTGAGATAGTTTCTCACTAAATTTCCCAGGCTGGCCTTGAACCTGGTGATCCTCCAGCCTCAACCTTATGAGTCATGGCATCACAGGCATGCACCACTGTGCCTGGCTGCAGTTAATTCTTGTTAGTTAGCAGTCTCTGTGCCTTTGTCTTTAATATATATTTTTTAATTATTATTTTTTTAATAACTTTATTTATTTTTATGTGATGCTGATGATCAAACCCAGTGCCTCACACATGCTAGGCAAGTACTGTATCACTGAGCCACAACCTCAGCCCTTAATATTTTTTTAAGACTAAATTTCATTTATAATTTTTGCTTCCAGTAGTAGACTGCAGTTTTTCTGACTATAAAAGAATCAACTAATGCACTTAAGTAACAATTCTGTTTCTCTAGAAATTGCTCTTATTAGGTGGGATAGGGAATTACAAAAATGATTTAGAGAAAATAGTTCTAAGCTTTCATATAGGAATTCACTACAGGGGGTACAAGATACTGAATATATATTTCAAAATTAATATGCTTAAGGCGCTGGGAATGCAGTTCCTGGGAATGCACTTGCCTAGTTTATAAAAGGTCCTGGGTTCAGTCCTCAGCATTGGGGGGGAAAGATACGCTAAGCCTGGTTTGGTGGTAAATACCTGTAGTTCGAGCTAGTTGGGAAATTGAGGCAGGAATGTTGCTTTGGCCAGGAGTTTGGTGCCAGCCTGGACAATATAATGAGACACCAAAAAAAAAAAAAAAAAAAAAAAGCCAAAAATAATATGCTTAATCTATTAAATGTAATGACTTAGGAATCGGGAAGAGCAAAATTTGGTGGCTTATCCCCATGATGGAAAAATTTATTTCTGCACCTCACAAGACATCCCTCCTGAACATGAACTGCTTTTCTATTATAGTCGGGATTATGCTCAGCAGATTGGTAAGTTTGTAAGACTTATTTGTCATGAATCTAGCATAGTGAGAATGCCAAGGACCAGGAATATCCTTTGGTAATGATTTACAGGACAGCTGAAGTAAATCATGAACTTTTTTATATGTAAATACAAGCTGTTACTATCTATATTTGGGCGTTAAAATCTGTGAGGTCCATCATAAGGTGAATGTTACTGACCAACCAATATTAATGTAAAAAGAGCTTTTATGGTACAACATTGATTTGAGCTTTAAGCTTCTAAAATTACTTTTTAAGCCAGCAATATTGAGATTTAAGCTCTTTCTACTGTTCCATTGACAGTGATATTTAAAGAGGCCATATAATGCAATGTTTACCAAGTGCTTTCTTATGTGCTTGGTACATTATTTGAAATGATAGGGATAGAGCACTGAATAAGACATGTTAATTTTATGGGCAGTGGACAAGTTGGAAATTTTGTTAGGAGATTTGTAAGGAACAATTATTAATATCAAGGACAGTTTTGAAATTTTAGTCTCAGGAAACATTGAGTAATTCTTGTTTTAAAGGTGTTCCAGAACATCCAGATGTGCACCTCTGTAACTGTGGCAAGGAATGCAATTCCTACTCAGAGTTCAAAGCTCATCTGACCAGCCACATCCATAACCATCTCCCTAGCCAGGGTCACAGCAGCAATCATGGTCAAGGCCACAGCAAAGAAAGAAAATGGAAGTGCTCAATGTGCCCCCAAGCTTTTATCTCTCCTTCCAAACTGCACGTCCACTTTATGGGTCATATGGGTATGAAGCCCCACAAGTGTGACTTCTGTAGCAAGGCTTTCAGTGATCCAAGCAATCTGCGGACCCACCTCAAGATACATACTGGTAAGCTCTGACCATCAGAATGGAATTTTTGCAACAATTTGAGATTGCAGGTAGAGTTGAAATAAAATGTCTGTTTTACTTAGTTTTTAATTGCAGTGACCAAAAGACCTGACAAGAACAACATAGAAAAAGAAAAATTTTTTGAGGGGCTCATAGTTTTCAGAGGTCTCAGTCCATAGAAGACCAATTCCACTGCTCTGGGCCTGAGGTGAGGGCTAATGTATGGTGGAAGGGCATGGCAGAGAAAGCTATGGACATTGCAATCAGGAAGCACAGAAAGAGCTCCGGTCACCAGGGACAAAATATAAACCCCAAAGGCACACCTCCAGTGACTTATCTCCTTTAGCTACACCCTGCCTAAATTACCATCCAGTGAATCCATATCAGTTAATTAATCTACTGATTACATCAAGGTTCTCACAATCCTGCCTACAGTTACCATACTGTGAATCCATATCAGTGAATTGATCTAATTATGTGAAGGCTCTCATAATCTAATCATTTCACCTCTGAAAATTCTTGCATTGTCAAACACATGAGCTTTAGAGGATACCACATATCTAAACCATAACAATGTCAGAGAAAGAATCCAGATGACTATTGATGGGACCTCCTTGGGTAGTAGACCTTTGTGGGATGGATAACTGAGACTCCTTGGAGGGGTTAGTAAAGTGTTTGATTTTCTTTTTTTGGGGGGGGGGTGAAGGGACAAGGGGTACCAGGGCACTTGACCTCTGAGCCACATCTCCAGCCCTATTTTGTATTTTATTTAGAGGCAGGGTCTCACGGAGTTGCTTAGTGCCTCACTTTTGCTGAGCCTGAGATTATAGGCATGTGTGGTGCTTGATTTTCTAGGTGCTTCCACCAATAGTTGGAATGTATTTGGAAAAATGCAGTTCATCAGAAAGTTGGTCATTGTGTTTGGATTTAAAGCAAAGGGAATTCCCTAGAAGTAGCCTGAGCTTCCCACTACATAGTTCAGCCCTGGTCACGAGCCTCTTTGAATAGTGCTCTGTAAACTGCCCAGATTTGATTTTTGCATTTCTATCTTCTAAACTCCATACAAACCAACCCTGTCTTTCAGCTCTTATTTTTTTAATAGACTCTAGAACTGATGAGATTTTTGCTTTCTTGGGTGATTTGTTCTCTAAGTCTTCAGAAGGAAGTTTTTAATTAATTAATTAATTAATTAATTTTTTGTTTTGAATACTGGGAATTGAACCTAGGGTCTCACACATGCTAGACAAGCAGTTTACCACTGAGCTATATCCCCAACCCTTTTTATTTTAAGACAGTGTCTCCCTAAGTTGCCCAGGCTGGCCTCAAATTTGTAATCCTCTTGCCTCCATCTCTGGGGTAGCTGGGATTACCAGGAGTGTGCCACCACACTTGACCTTCTCCATGTTTTTGTGTTATGACTGAGTAGCTGCAGCTGAGATCTGTGACCCAACAAAATCTGATTCTTTCTAGCCTTTAAGAATAGATTTGCTGAGCCCTTGGACTTGGATATATTTATGTACTCTTAAAAGGATTGTATGGTTTATGGGGTCATACTATTTGTTAAAAAGATAATAGTAGAAACTGTAGGTATAAAAATGTTTGCCTACAGATGAGTGCTAGAATTCATGGCTGTTCTTTTGTTAGTAGGGCACTGGGATTATTAGTATTGTTCTCACCAATTTGGTTTCACGTGTCAGCTATAAACATTAATACATACTGAGATAAGAGGTCCTATAAGTAGAGCAGGTTTATTAGCTTTAGTTGCAAAATATAAATTAAATGGCTATGAGTGTTTCTAGGGAGACAGTCCTAGAAAGCAAAGTTCAGGTATCAGCCAGTTCTGCTACATTCTTGCCTTGCTTCATTCCTATATATAATTTATCTTTGAGAATGCTAGTAGTTGTTTTATACTCAGTGTGATATTTTGGGTAAATTTGCAGGTCAGAAGAACTATAGATGTACTTTGTGTGACAAGTCTTTCACCCAGAAAGCTCACCTGGAATCACACATGGTCATCCACACGGGTGAGAAGAATCTCAAGTGTGATTACTGTGATAAGCTGTTTATGCGCAGGCAGGACCTCAAGCAGCATGTGCTCATCCACACACAGTAAGTAGCCTTGCAGCCATGATGCCATCCTTGGGGGGTGGGTTTAGCCTGCCAGCTCCAGAACTTGCAGGTGCTGACGCTATCTGTTAACTGCCCTGGTGCATGGTAGATGCCTCCTGTGTTCTACATAGCCAAGCAGAGTTTTTGGTTTTACCCTGGAAGCAAATAAACATTTACCATGGTGTGCGGCACTGGATGCTGAAAAACCATAGGAGAAGGGCGCTTAAGCCAGTTTGGGGGTTTGGTAAGGCTTCTTGGTAGTTTGAGCTAAGTTTTAAGATAAATTAGAAGTATTCATGGAGGCAGATAAGGGTAAGGAGTGAGAATGGTACTCTAGGTAGGTGGGGGAGAATGTCAGGCAGAAACAGATGCAGAAAGGACTTTTGAATGTGGTTCTTTATAGTTAGAACATAGTGTGCATATGAGAGAAGAGTGGAGAGAGAGGCAGCCACTGTGCCATGAAGAGCCTCTTATTCTACAAAGAAGTTAATTTTATTCTGTAAACAGTGGCAGGCCAGGGAAGGATCTGCTCCCCAACCACTGCAGTGTATCAGGAACTGTTCTGTGCTGTGTGTGTGTGTATGTGTGTGTGTGAACAAGAAAACAAACAAGTTGCCATCTTAGCCATTTTTAGGTATTCAGAGCAGTAATATTGGTTATATTCATGTGGTTGTGCAGGCACTGCAGGACTTTTAAGGAAAGGGTGTCGAGTTGTGGTGACATACCCATTCTATGAAGATTACTCTGATAGCTGGACGGAGAATGAAGAGGAAAAGACCAAATATCAGGAGATTGATTAGGAATTTATTGCTGAATCCAAGTGTAATAAATTCTCCAACCTGCATTAGTGACAGTAGTAGTAGATGAAACAGATTTTACCATTGTCCCTTTGAGTGAGTTTGGAAGAGGGAGAAAATATTTTGTAGTTGCTCTTAAGAGATCCATATTCACCGGAGGCTTTCTGATACCAAAGCAAAGTGTTTCTCCAAACTCTACAGAACATTCTACAGAATGCTTTGGTATCAGCTCTTATGTTTGCTTTCTAACCTAACTACAGTGCAGCCTGAAATGCTAAATGTCCAGGGATTCTGAATCTACATCTCAACTCTCAAAAGGACTTTTTTTTTTTTTTGAGATGGGGGTCTTTCTAGGCAACCTAGGTCTATGCCTAGGTTGGTTTTGAACTCTTGATCTTCCTCAGTCTCCCAATTAGCTGGGATCACAGGTGTGTACTACTGTGCCTGGCTGTAAAGGACCTTTTAAAATAGTCTTTAGTTTTTTTATTATTATAAAATTTTGGGAGATTAGATACTAATTATCAAATATGGAATTGTACAAGATTACAGCTGAAAGACCTCTGGGATCATCTAGACAAACAGCCTAGATACCTAAGGTCGCCCCAACTAAATACCACGGGCTGAATGGCTTAAATAGCAGGGGAGGAATGCAGAATGAGAAAGCCATGATGAGCCAGGAAAAAGGCGCTCTCTAGAACCCAGCACACCAACACCCTGATCTCTGACTTCCTACCCCAGAACGGTGAGAAACCCCTTCTGTTGTTTAAGCCACCCAGTCTTCCATTTGGGAGTAGGTAGGGAGAAAGGGACATGAGAGAGAGAAAATGAGATCTTTGGTGTCTTCCTCTTATTGTAAGACCACTCATCCCACCATGGAGGTCTCGAACTCAGTCTTATTGTTTCCTGTAGTCCCTTCCTCATGCTGGAGTTTGGCCTTCAACCTGTGACTGGGGAATATGGAGAGGCATTCTATCACTAGCACTGCCCATTATAACCAGCTGGTGAGTGTGAGAAGCAGTTGGTGCCAGGACCCACCCTTAGGGATTTAATTTAATTGGTCTGGGGTGGAGCCCTGGCCTTGCTAGTTTAGAAAGCTCCCCAGGTGCCTGGTGTCCAGCCAGGGTTGAGAACTGTTGACTTCCTCCAAACAAAAGACTGATTTGTACCATATCTCTGGCAAGTGGACATATTGTTGTTTCTTGACTATCACATAGTTGTGGAAGTTTTGCTTGAGTCAAGCTGACATCAGCCTCATCCTTTCACTCTATAACTCCCCTCTGGAGTGAATACACAAGTAAACTTGTTTCTTTAAATTGATAGCCTTTTATGCAATTTATGGACACTGCCATTATCCCATTAACCTTCTTTTTGTCAGACCAAATGTCCCTAGTTTCTGTAACTTTTTATCATATCACCTTGTTTCACATTTGTTTCAGGAAACAGTGAAGTTACTATCTTCCTTGACCTTGAAGATGTGCATATCTTTTGACCTTGGATCCAATTATATTGCTCTTGTGTGTGTTCTTGGAGAAACGCTTACATGTTGCAGAATAATTTGAAAGGGTAGAAATGTTCATAACAGTCTTACCTATGTTAATAAAAAAACTGAAAATCATCAGAATATCCATAATAGACAAACCCAGTACCACAGAGTTGTGGTCTGTTTATAAATAATATATAGCAATGGAAGGGAACAAACTACTGATATGTGATTGAATTTCACAAACTTCATATTCAGTGAAAGAAGCAAGACACACAAGAAATACAAATAGAGTGGTTCTGTTTATGAAGAACCTAAAAGGGGCAAAATTAGCATATGCTATTCAAACTGTACCTATGTTTTATAACCTCTGTGTCTCCTATAAAAAAACTAAACCTCAGACTGGGGTTGTGGCTCAGTAGTAGAGTGCTTGTCTTGCACACGTGGGACCCTGGGTTTGATCCTCAGCACCACATAAAAAATAAATGAGTGAAATAAAGGTTAAAAAAAAAAACTAAACCCGATTCTAAAAGGGTAGAACATCTCTGACAAAGGCTGAGGTTATAAAGAATTCAGTGTGTGCCTCAGATGTCATTTGTAACCCCAAATCAAATGTTTTTCTTTTGTCCCTCTTAGAGAACGCCAGATCAAGTGTCCCAAGTGTGATAAGCTGTTTTTGAGAACAAATCACTTGAAGAAGCATCTCAATTCTCATGAAGGAAAGCGAGATTATGTCTGTGAAAAATGTACAAAGGCATATCTAACCAAATATCATCTTACCCGCCATCTGAAGACCTGTAAAGGACCCACCTCCAGTTCCTCAGCACAAGAGGAGGAGGAGGAGGAGGACTCCGAGGAGGAAGATCTAGCAGACTCTGTGGCAACAGAAGACTGTAGGATTAACAGTGCTATGTTTTCAGCAGACGAGTCTCTTACTTCTCATAAATAAAAAAGCAACTGCTTTGGATGGAAAATACAAAGGGAAAAACACATTTAATGAGTTATCCACTACAGTGGTTTTTATATGAAGTGGTTTCTGATTTCCTTCCAGCCAATAGTCTAAATGGACTGAATGGGAATTGATAAAGCACTTACAAAAGAGCATCTGAATGGAAACACTTTAGAGCAGTCTGGGAGGAGAGAGCAGCATGTGCTGTTTTTAAGTGATGGGCAGGGAGAAAAGGGTCAACTTTTGGGGTCTGTTCGTTCTTTGATAATTTGGGTGAAGCATTTATGCCTGAGTAAAAGCAGTCTTCGACCCAAACTAACCAGATTTATTTTAAATTTCTCCCATTATTCCATTTTTCTCCCAGTCCTATGACTTGATAACTCTCTAAACTTGCCATCCTAAGTGCTGACTGTGTTTTACGCAGACTGTTGTGACTCATATGCATCACAGAACGGATTGGAGCGTAGCCGTGGAAGTGTGGAACCTGCAGCTCACAGGTTGAAAGCAGCACCTGCCTTAACCTCTCCTGGCCACTTGGGAATTTAGGGTAAATCATGCTTCCCAAATTTTCAGCAGGTGCCTAGAGGGCAAATAAGAAAGGACCCATCTGTCACTAGGTAGTGATTGAGAGAAGAAAAGGAGGAGAGATGCCTGGCTGCTGATGGAGAAAGGAATTTTGATGGAAGTCAGGGTAAGTCACCTGGTTATTGTCACATAGAGATCCTTGAAGGATAGCCGTGTCTTGGTCTCCAGGAAAGCCTCCAATCATTCAGATGAAGAGGACTGGGAGCGCAGAGTGCCCAAATACTGCCTGACGGATTGTCTGCTGACAAGTACAGATGAGTAGATGCCTGGCAGAGTGGAACCTCCGTTCATGGAAGAGAAGGAAGGGAACGATCTTCTTTATGTTTGGTTTACCCTATGGAAAGTATCAGGACACCATTAAAATTGTTGCCAGCTCAAAGCAACAGATGACTCCAAAGGCATTAGTGCATTTGCAAGACTGGGTCTTCCTAGTTGTCTGTGCTGAAGGACCTATGGAGGATGCCAAAGGACTTGGAAGGTAGAGAAAAGTCTTAATGGTCACCAGATGGATCTGTTTTCAGGTCCCAGGGAGCATGCATACCCAGCTTTTCTCAAGAAGCAGATACATCCTTAAGTTTACAGTCAATGGAGCATGCCCTTCTGCTTGAAATCACAACTTCTGGGCTGGAGACGAAGGTTTTGCTGCTAATGTATTTATGGAATGAATGTATTTCATTCAAATTTGTATTCCTCTAGGAAGGATTAAAATAAATTTTTTTTTTTTTAAATACAGGATTTCTCTTTGATTTCATTTTGTAGAGGAAGGAGATGAGTCTTTTAGGGGAAAATTAGGTATGACTTGAGTTTTTCTAAGGTTAGAAGGGAAGAAAGCTTTTCTTGGATGTTTTAACTTTGAGATCATATTCTGATTGTTACTATGTGATAGTGCTTAAACTGTGCTTCCTGTATCTCAGCCCCCCCACCTCACCCCCCACTCCGTCGTCCCCCTCCCCATCCTCTTCCTAAGGTGGTGCCTTACTCTGCTGCCTCCTTGCACAACAGGTGAGTCTGTAGTTGAGGACATGGTTGACGTGTTCTGGGTGATTAGGGTTAGTTGCTGAAACTTCTCATGAAGCCTCAACAGGGTAGTTCTTATGCCTGGGGCAGCTCCAAAGTCAGTCTTCTAAAGAGGGGTGGCAGCCCCCACCTCTTCTGGTTCCCCAGAAACCACTGGTGCTGGACCCACTTTCTTCATTTATCTCAGCACACGCTGGGTTAAATTCCTTTAACATGGAAATACTGCACAAGATAGTTAACCTAATGGCCAAAACCCCAAAGCAAGAAGAAATTGAGATGTTTAAGTGAGAATGAAGCCAGTATTGCTTATTTACAACTCTCTTCCATTTTTTACCTTAAGATGATAAATTAGTAACCTCTCATTTGACAGGCCTTTTCTCTGAGCCTTCTCTGTGCCCTTGCAGGTGGCTTCATCCACTGCTGCTGTTGGGTAAGTGGTCACGCTGGGAGGCAGACTATGAATGTGGGCTCTGGAGTCTGTAGAATGGTCTTCTCTGGGCTTTGCAGCATGATGGTTTGTGTCCTTGGCCAAATTATGTAACTGGTGCCTTTTAATTTGTAAATAGAGAATGAAGGGGTTCCCTTTTGTTAATATTGTTTGGTGTTAGGTTAGTTGACATGTGTCCTCAGCTATCACAATGCTTGACGCACAGTAAACAACAGCTAATATCATTCAGTTGCATATTAGCCTAGAATTTTTACGTTAGCCTAGATTTCTATCCTAAGAAACATTGACTGTAGATGACCCAAGAAGCTCTAAACTTTAGAAATACAGTAAAACTGGAATAAATGGTTTTTAAGGCCAAAGCTGAGAAACTGGCTCATAGTATTCTCGAGGGTCAGTGTGTGGTTGGCGTTTCCTTCCTTAAAAGGCCATTGCTCATAATTCTATGTTGCGCTGAGGTGCTCAGCAACCTCAGAAGCATCAGTAGGCACCAGTATTGCGGACTAATTGGTCAGCCTTTTCACTTTGTTGACATGCATACACACCTTGCAGTAAGCAATCCTTTACCTGTCCTGAGAGTATAACACAAGCCGAAGCGTTTACATCACACAGGTGAATTTACATTATTTGAAAATCGAACTACATCCCAGGGGCACACACTGAAGAACAACCTTGCTCCAGATACACAGATGATCACTGTCCACTCACCCCTTTCATATGTTGAAGTTATAACCTCCAGTATCTCACAAGGTGGCCATACTGGGATATGATTAAAGAAGTAATTAAAATGAGGTCCTTAAGATGGGTCCAGATTCAATGTGACTGGTGTTCTCATGAGAGGAAGGTTTGCAGGTGGATTCATACAGAGATAGATAGTGTGAAGACGAGGGAGAAGGTGCACACCTGCAAGCCAGGCAGAGGCCTGGGCAGGTCCTTTCTTCACAGCCCACAGACAGTCCTTCTGACACCTTGTCTTGGACTTAGGGCCCCCAGAACTGTGGGAGGGTATCTATCATTCTGGCCCTGCAGTCTGAAGTACTTTGTTGGGGCAGCCTTGCAAATCAAATCCCGTCTAAGCAAACATGCCCCTGTGTAATGATTGTGTAAAGAGGAGCAGCTTCCAGAATAGTGCCTACAGATGTGGCAGGGCAACGTAAAAGGTGGTGACAATTAGTTGTGGTCTGTGTTCCACCAGCAGATTTCTCTGCCGTCCAAGGGATGGACTAGCTCAACAGTCTCCTTAGTTTTTCTTGCCTAACACGCTTGAGGCATCATAGTCCTCAGGTCTGTTAAAACATCAGACAAAGCACAGCTTTCTTTTCAGAAACCATTTAAGTGCTGTCTGTTTAAGGCACTTCAGGGGAAAAGGAGAAATAACCAGCGTTCTGCCCCTTCCCTGTGGTCCTTGAGATCTCGCAGTGCCTCCAGCATCTGGGTTCCCATCTGGATCACTGAAGGAAATAAAGCATATCGGCGTCCAGTGGGCCCCAGCTGGGCTCTGCAGGTGGTTCTAAAGTAGCCCACTGGAGTTTTCTGTGGAGTCAGGCAAGATACAGATGATTTCTCAGGCGGGGCAGGCTCTAGCAGTGTTGTTGGTCACATTTCACCTGTTGATGGGAACACACGCCATGCAATGCGTTGTCAGTGGATTGATGGTGTGTGAACATCCTAGGGTATACTTAAACCTAGATGGCATAGGTCAGTCACTGCATGTGGCCTCTTGATGTGATCAGGGGAATAAAACCTTGATGTATGAGGCTGTTGCAGCATGGTTTATAACAAACTTAAAAATAACAACAACAACAACAAAGGGAGTACTTAAACTAGTAAAAAGCACAGAAAATACAAAACCAGTCGCAGTCATTAGACATGTACTGTGTATCGTCCATAAGTGTGTGTGCTGTAATACAACTGGCAGTGCAGTAGGTGTGCTTACCAGCATCACCACAAACGAGCAACGTGTCCTTCTGTGAGGTTATGACACCGATGACATTGCCAGGGAGTAGGAATTTTCAGCTCCATTGTAGCAGGACCAGCCTGTTCTGTGACAGGAATGTCATCGTGTTGCCCATTATTGTAGGTGCAAAGTATTTTTAAGATCCAGGAGCAGGAGTGAAAAAGGCACCCCAAGAACAGAAGGTGAGCAAGGAAAGGCAGCCAAGGTGAGCCTGCTTGTGGGTGTGGTAAGAGAAGGCTGGCTCTGGGGAGAGAAGGAGGAGTGTTTGGAAAACCAGATCACACATTGGGAGTACAGGACTAAACAGAATGCTGGGTTTACCAAATCAGTCATTTTTTTAATCGTTTTAAATTAGTTATAGTGTTTATTTGTGGTAGGCATTGTTATAATGCTTTATAAATAACACACTCTGCAAAGATGATCTGGGACTATCCATAGTTTACAGAAGCAACTGAAACACAGGTTAAGAAATTGGCCCACGGCTGGGGATGTGGCTCAAGCGGTAGCGCGCTCGCCTGGCATGCGTGCGGCCCAGGTTCAATCCTCAGCACCACATACAAACAAAAAAAAAAATTAAAAAAAAAATAAAATAAAAGTGGAAAAAAAAATTTTAAAAAAATAAAATAAAAGTGGAAAAAAAAAAAAAAAGGTAAGAAATTGGCCCACAGTTACAGTAAGAGGCAGAGCCTAGACTCAGTCTGTGTCTAACCACTGAGCTTATTTTTAAATTTTATTTATTTATTTTAACATTTATTTTTTTTAGGAGTAGTTGAACACAATACCTTTATTTTATTTTTTTATGTGGTACTGAGGATCGAACCCAGGGCCTTGCACGTGCCTGACAAGCACTCTACCACTGGGCCACAACCCCAGCCCCTGAGCTTATTTTTTAAATGAACATATGTGTGAGAGTGTGTGTGTGTGTGTGTGTGTGTGTTGCTGGAGATCTATCCCAGGGCCTTGTGCATGCAAGGCCAGCACTCTACCAACTGAGCTATATCCCCAGCCTGAACATACTCTCTTTTTCATGATTT